ACCAATAATTAACTAGCTTTACATATTATAAAATAATAATAATAATTTTAGCTAATATATTTTATTTTACAAGAATTTTAGCTTTATATATAACTAGTCACAGGCCCGGCCAGTCGGCCGGATTCATTTGTCAATCACGTAAATAACAGTGATTTTTGGTATTCGAATAACACATTGGTATAAGATAATCTAAGTTCTTCAAATACTTGAAACGTTCGAATCGATTTGGAGAATAAGAGAATCCAAATTAGTGAATTAGTTCAACAATCCAAAAGGATCAACATCACATTTTTCGACATTTAATGACCAATGGACTAAAACCCTTTTACGAAAATGAAAGAAAAATCTCATGCAAGGAAATCGAATCCTAAAGACCAATTAAAATGACTTTTCTAATTACTCTTCATTGTCAGAGATTACTACATGTTTTCTTTCTGCCTTGATTGCATTGCCTCCGACATGAGCAACAACCTCATTGTCAAATATTAGTAATGTCTTCATCTCCATTAGAGACACATTTATCTCCAATATCAATTGATTCTTCCTTTTTATCTTGCATTTCAATTATCTCTTTCTTATTTTCAAGCATTTCATTGAGCACAAAACTTGATGGTAAAATTTATTTGCAAATATTAATCATCTTTTTCATTAGAATAGAAATTACCTCGTCCAAATTATAAATATATGTTGAATTTGTTTTTTCTCCCCGTCACCCACTTGAAATCTTCCCATAAACAATGTATTTTTTTTTTAACATCATCATCATCTCTAGCATCGAATTTATTATCTCCACCGTAATAAAATTATAATTTATTCTAAATTTTCTCTTAGTTTTGTTGATTTCAGCTATCCTAGTGGTCCATTGTGATTTGATAATAATCATTATTGAAGTTCCATATTTCCGAGGGGAAATTACTGTTGTCGTTTCTCTCCCAATTTCACTTTTTTTTATGAATCGGTTAACTTGTATATAATCAAAAATCACCAAAACCATTGGCAACAAACCCTGCCAATTAAGCAACAGTCAACTAACCAAACCAATTTGACATATCTATTCAGCTATACCTCTAGAACAAAAATTGCAAATCGTATAACCAAGAGTAACAAATTCAGATTGGCCAAAACTCTGCTACACTTTCCTTATCAGACAATGTGATGAGTGGTGACATCCCTCATAATTTGAGCAATTAAATCTGAACAATTTCTTCTGGATCCACTAATTTTACCTTTTAAGTTTACTTGAATTAACATTTTATGTAAAGGGTAATTGTAGTTATATAAGATTCATGTAATTTGTTTATGTTTTTGTTATATAATAAGAAGTTACATACAAAATTTATTTAATGAAGGACTTAAATTTTAAACAATATAACAGTTATTAAAAAAACTTGGAAATAATCTAACAAATTCGGAGATTTTATTTTCTGGGTTCGTACTTAACAAAGAGTCAAAAAAAGCTCGTGCTCTATTTTTAACGTAAGAATTTTTTATTATTATTAAAAATATTTAATTTGAAAAGGCAAAAGAGTTCTTTCTATAATCATTCAATTTAATCTTACAGAAGAGTTTCTTCAAAAAAAAAATCTTACAGGAGAGCACAGTAATTTTAATAGTATATATAAGAGTAATTTAATGAGGATATTAAAAATTCAAGAGATGAATAACTAACCTTGATTTGTTGCAAAATTTGACTTTGACGCGTGCATGAAATTGCAACAATAGGTATCTGTTATAAGGAGCAACAAATCGATTATCTAGTGAGACTCCATTCACCATATACGATTTGTTGTTCTCTCGGCGTGGATATCTGGCAAAACCATTCTCATCAATAGTTGTTTGGCTGCAGAATTCCTTCGATAAATATTTAGAGAGGTGCACCAATAGTTGTACATGGAGCTTTAGATCCTTGAAAATCACATGGACCATGAAACGTAGATTTTGCAACTGCATCATAACATTCAATATCTGCTTTACGATATGAGATTTCAGAGACTATAACTAAATCTATTTATGTAGGACTATATAATTTATCTTCTGTAGCAAGAAAAACTAATAAATGAGCATGAGGTAGGCACTTTTTTCAATTCAATGGTCATTACATATGCAATAAAAATTATCATAATAATTAAAATGGTAAAATAATAGTTAGGAAAAAATAATGAATTATGAATGCTTAAAGTAAAATTATTGAATCAATATATATATGTCTATATTTATATAATATAATTAATAAGACTTTTGCAATTTACAACCTCATGGATTCAAATTTCAAGAGTTTTTACGCAGTCACGTCACCATCACTGACGACCAATCAAAAAAATTTATCAACACTTAAAGTGTATACCACCTAGCACACACTTTCTCTTCTTTTTGAATTCCCCTACTATTCTTAATCAATCTGTATTTGTTTCTTTTTAAATCCAAATTTAGATATTTTTACGTATAAATATTAGATTTTATGTGATCTATATAATGATATCCATTTTGATATATGTTGAAATAAAAAAAAATCCAAAAATGACCATCACCACGTGTTCATGTATCACGTTCCTATTCAATAGAATACTAAATTATACCAATATCATTCAAATACATATCACCATACGACTGACTCATGCGCCATCGTAAATCACTGGTCACATTCATAAACTAAAGAGCTTCTAAATTATATCTATGGCATTTAATTTTGTACAACTATCATATTCATATACAACAATTTCATATGTTTCAAAAATATTATCATTAGACACATATAAACTATTATAACACAAAAATCATCACCCGTCCAATAGGCCAGACTCAAAGCTTAAATAACTTACGTGCATATTTTTTCCAAAAAATTTCTTCTCCAAAATCTACTTCAACAAATGATGTAGCTCCAGTTTGAAAAATTGTGTGAGGAAATCAACTCTATTAGGATATTTTCTAGTAGTAGTCTTTATCAAATCAAGCATGTATTGAATCTCAGGCCAAACATGATTACATGTAAATGTAATGAAATGATATGGATATCTACAAATTGTCATAGCATTCTGGAAGCATTAATATTTATATCGAGGACTACATGTATGTGATGAAGCTAAAATCACATGTTTTCCACTTAAACTGGTGTCTGAAGCATCTCTCAAGTAAGAATCCAAAAGACCTTGGTAGTAATGTTGTCGCGAATTTGATTGATTTTTTTTTTAATCTAACCCAAACGCTCTGCCTCAACCAATGCATATGCATTGACAAACATATTGTTGGAACAACTTTACACACAATAGCAATGCGTTTGATTCTTCCAGTCTTGTTGGAGTCTATAACTGTAAAAATCACATTGGGTCACATTCTTCTCATTGTATCTATCTGCATCCTCAATGCCATAATATGGAATATTTGTATGTCAATCATCCTTGCCATGTGGTAATAATTTGAGATATTGCAAAGCCATTAAACTTAGATGATATATACTAATTAGTTCCGGTTCATTACTTTGATAATGGGCAACAATATAAGAAGAAAATGTTTGCTCTCCATTATCATCATCAACAATTAAAGCAGCGACCTCATTTTCAGATGGCCAATCATATTCTTTACCATCCCCATATCTTTTAGCAAGCAACTTAATTTCAACTTGTTGAATAGTGGTGTCATTCTCTCTATCCCTTGCATATCGAAATGTCTTTTGTAGGATATTATTTAAATCTAACATCTCCTGCAATTGTTCAATAATTGAATCGAGCAAAGGATTTGAAGCTGGATGTTTTGGAATTCATTGCCAGTGTCATAGAAGTAGAGTAAATTTTTGTATGTTCATTTAAGTAGGTACCAACCTACTAAAACGATGATATACTTGACTTCCAATCGAATAAACATATACTCATTGTCCATTATTTATACATCAGTCAAGTTTACCTCCAATAGAATTTAATGCAAACACCCCTTTATAGTCTCAGATATGTTCCAAAAAGTGATGTTCCGTTGAAGTGTTTGCTTGCAATAGCATATTAAAATATTCATAAACCTAGAAAGTCTCCATATCGAATCACCCAAAGACGGTTATAACGAATTTCAGCAAGTTTGGTGGAATCATTAAAATAAGCATTCCTAGCATTTAACACATAATTTTATAACATATAAAAAAATAAACATGAAAATAATGGATGGCCAGTAGGAATGTTGACAAATTGTTTTCCATATATATGCTTTTACCTTATACTTTCCTTCTTGCTAATTTGGTCAATGGTTGATTAATTCTCTTAAACACTAGACTTATTTGCATCAATTTCTAAAAATGTAAAATGGATAGTGGTAGTTTTCTAAGATCAAACCGTGTGAAATAGTTAGAATGATTATGATCAATTGATGATTTATTGATATTTGTACCATAAGGAAATTTTTCTGCACTTTAGATAGAGACCGATTAGAATCCACCACACCTTCTAGTGTATAAAAATAACCTCTTTTTTCCTGAACAACGCATGACATGTACACAAATTGAATTGTAAGATGTATATAATTATGCTAATAAAATATTTGTACTTACATTCACTTTTTAATGTAAAATATAATAAGCAAGTTTTTAAATGTATTTTATTAATAGTGCTTGATAGTGAGACATCAATATCTATTGAAAATTTTAAGGCATGTGAAATAACTAATAAGCAAGTTTTGTACTGGATACATATATATGATTTAGATACGTGTAACAAAATTTAAATGAAGCCTACCTGGCTAGGAAAAGTCGGATGCTAGGGAAGAAGAGTTCCTAGAAGAAAAATATCATTTTTTAACTGCTCTCATGTGGAATTAAGGGCTCACATTAATTAAAGCCATTCCATAGTCACTTTACTGGTCTGTAAATGGCCCATAAATATTGTATCCCCTCGCCCTTCGCACTCACTTTACTGCTGCGCGTAAGAGTGGATTTACCAATATGTCCCTCCGTCTACTGCGGAGGAGCTTGGAAAATTGAGATTGTTGGGGTTTTGGAGGAGAACCTCCATATAGTATTGGTTTAGATATTTCCAGCATTAACACAATAGATTAACTATATACTAGACATCACCACACGTCCACACCTGGAGAATGCAGGTCCTTGCAAAACAAGCAAATTCTTCCTATACAACTGATTAACTGCCATTGAGTTTAGCTCATCACTCAGAGTACGGTTTGAATTGTAAATAAATACCAATCGTAAAAACAGAGATGAAATGAACGAAACTAACAGCTACAGTAACTACCTAGCTTAAGCATCCAAAAGAGATTTACTTGCGAGCTCATTACTAAAGAGCCTGATCAACACTACCCTTTTGAGGGGCGATTACCCTCCAATAGCTCGTCAATGCAGAATTCATGCAGAAGGTCGTGAGTTTTCTTCAATCTCTTCGTCATTTGTCTAGACTCTGCAAGATCATGCTTCAGCTTTGCCACTCCCATCTCAGCCGCAGTTGAAGAACCCTTTTGCTGCAATAGGAGATGAAACATGGTCCCACTCAATACAAATACAAAGCAAAAAGTTGGCATAACAAAATCTAGAGGACAGAAGATGCAAATTTGTTTCAGTTTATTCAATGAAAATGGAAATGAAATGAAAACAAAGACATGATTAATAACCTGAAGTTCTTTGAGTTGGTCGTTGATCAATTGAGAGGTGACATATGCAGCATCAAGAAGATTATTGTTGATATGCGGCAAGGTAATGATTGCCTCAGTGGGTGAATCGGCATCTTTAGTATTTTGGGGTGTCCACAGTTTGGGTGGTAGTGAAGACTTCCGTCGCCTTATGACCTGGAGATTGTTCACTGGACCTGCCTCAGGAAACAATTTAGATGAAGATCAGAAAAGAAAATTGGAGCTCCAAAGGAAAATCTGTGCTCGACCATAACTTGAAGGTCAATACTACAGCTACATGGCAATTTTCTATCAAAGAAAATAACAACTCAAATAGGGAGCAAAATAATAAACTGGAAGCAGATCAAGGAAATCTGCACAGAAAAAATCTGTCACCTTTTTCATGATTGAACCCGCGAATGAGGCTCATGTTCTTGGGGTCCCAAATTCGAATTGATCCATCCTCTGATCCAGCAAGCAACCAGTTTTTACTGGTACTGTATGCTAAGGAAGTCACAGCCTCGTTCAAGTTCTTACTGCCCGTTAATAAAAATAAATGACAAAGTTCATCAGCTCAAAACAATTGGCAAGGTCAACCAACCAAGTAGTATTGCTGAATCTATCTAAGAAGCAATATTCTCTGACAAAAGGAATCAATTGAGGTGGGCAGAAAGGAAAGAAGCAGGCGATGCAATGCAAGCTCATGATCACCCGTTCTGCTAGGTATCAACCCCTATGCATGCTCAAATTGAAAATAGAAGACAGAAGTTGAGAGGACCAACAACATACATAAACAACAATAGTACAGGAACTAACTAACCTTCCACTAGACAATGAACCGATGATGTGCAACCAAGGACTTTTGCTGGAGGAGCTACTAGCACTAAGAGCAGTCAAATATATCTTCCCGTCTTTACCACCAGCATAGAAGACAGTTTCCCCAGGGTCCAAGACTATTGCATTGATTATGCATGGAAACACAACACTTCTCAACAATTCACCCTTAGAGAGGCTCCATACCTGACAAGAATCCCCAATGCCAGATAAATGTTTCAGTGTTGACATTGTGGGTTATTTCGACGATATATAAAGAAGAGGAATGTAAAAACAATCAAATTCAGGAATCAAACCTTACAAGTTCGGTCCTCAGAGGCAGAAACGATAACTGCGTTCCATCCTCCATAACCTATCACCAAGTCAGTTATAGGCAAAGTGTGCTCTGCAAAGCTATACAAGTATGGATCGTCTGTTTGTTGATCATCAAGCATCCTGATCCAGAGAGAAGCACACACAAAAAACATCAAGCCATCCTTAGCAATTACAACCGACACAAAAGTTACACCCTTTTCAACCACAATCCACAAAAGAGGAGAAGGGGAGGTTACTTCAAAAGTGCCCACACTTTGACAGAGCCATCCTCCGACCCAGAAACCAAAAGCGAATCGTCGTCATTGAATACCAGACAAGTGACCTGCCGGAGATGCCCACGCCATTTCTTAAGCAATCTACCAGTAGCAACCTACATCAATCAAATGCCTCCTAAATTGAATCAAACTGATTCCTGAATTTGATCATTAAAACGAGGGGGGAAGAAAAACTCACCTCCCAAAGATATATGTTTCCGGGGATCTTTCCGGAAATCCCTCCACCAACAAGGTATGTCCCTTCACGATTAGCAGCTATAGGCTTTATGGGCTCCTCCACAAAGCTCTTCACTTCCACTCCCGGCTAATAATCCCCAAATAATTTTGGCAACGAAAATGTCAATTCTCTGAAATCAAGAGAACGGGGAGCTGAAGAGTTAAAAAAATCTGAGATACCTTGGACCAAGACCAGTAGTAAATGAAACCAGAAGCGAGCTTAGGGTCTCGAAGCTGAGAAGAAGCGAGGAAGCGGCTGCCGACGGCGGAAAGGCCGTGGCGAGTGGAGGCGCAGGATTTGTAATGGAGCGACTGCTTAGCACCCGTCTTGAGGTCCCAGCAGCCTATGCCGGCGTCGACTGAAGATGACGCAATCACCATCTCCGGTTCCATGTCGCCCTACCGCAGCTTGTTCCTCTGGAAGGCCCGATTTGCAGGGTCTTAGGACTTAAATGCTGAGATTTTGGTAGGGTTTTAGGAACAAACAAATAATATGAACACCCCTCTTTCAAAAGAAAAAAGAATTTAAGAGTTTTCATATATAATAACTACGGACCTATTTGCAGTGCGTCATATGGGCCTTAGGTAACGGCTTCTCGAACCATTAAACCTGAAAGTAGGCCTTGTTTCTGGGCCGAAGTGGGATCTTTCATTGCGGCCCAACACCATTTTTATCTCCATATCCCCGCCCCCCATTCTTCTAGACTGACTATTAAATGGGCAAATAATTGGTGAATGATGAGAATTGAGAATGGGTAGCCCAGGAACTCAAATCAGCCCACGATGACTTTTTCATTGGAGATGGAATGCAAACAAGGAAAAGAAGAAGACAGGTTCCCCTATCTGTCTGCTAGGGTTCTAGGTGGATAAAGCTAGAGAATATATACAGGTATGGGGGAAAATATAGTTTTGTTTTTCATGGAGAAGGTTTGGAAAATGAGAAGAAAGGGAAACAGAAGAGAGAAGGAAATAAAAAGGTGTGCATGGATCTAATCTAATCTATGAGCTGAGAAGAGAAAGAGAAAGAGATGCAGAAGCAAGCATGTGTGTTTGTGTGGGGATAGGCGAATGCAGCCTTATTGACCCACTACTGATCACTCTAATATTACAGACTGACCACCTTATAGAGCTCTATAGCTAGCTACTGAATTCTCTCTTCTTTACTTTACTTTACTTGCTTCCATGTGTAATGCTGCAGCCTGCAGCTACCTAGCTAGCCTTTCATTCATTTCTTACTTCTACTTCTTTGCTTATTCTGCTAGCTTTATGAATTTATTATACACGGAAAAGAAGACTGATCGGGAAAAGAAAAGCAAAACCAGAGGAAAGCCCGCGATGGAAGAGAGAGAAGAGGGTTGTAATGGAGGTATATGCAAGGGGGCATACAGTAGTTTATTGTTTGTATGGAAACTTGTCAATAAAGTGTGCGTGGAGGAGTACTATTCTACTCCTGCTACTGCTGCAAAAAACAAGTGTCGAGAGACAGAAAAGAAGTTTGCATGTCAACAAAGTTGGATAGAGGAAGAGGAGAGGAGGAATCAAAACTTAGCCGGAGGGCGATTACTACGTAGGTTGTCAACCACATAATGTAATTTACTTTGTAGAGGATGTCACTGTTATCCAGTTCAGTCTTAATCCTGTATTATGTCGATATTACTCCAATAAGTGTTCTACAACTTACATGCATAGACAACAAACAAACTTAGATAGAATGTTAGAAGACTACGGCAAGAGAGTCCCGTCTCCTTAGTGGGTGTGTTTGCATTGAAGTACTGTTTCTACTTCACAGATTTCACTAATATGGTATTCATGAGCTTTGTTTACCTCCTTTGATCTACTTTACCTCTATTCCCTTTATTTCCATTTATATCACCATAAAACTCCAACACATTATTCATTTAGGTGATATTTTCAAAAAAATAATAATTGTTGTCTGTATTTCAAATCCTTATGGCCGGTTTACTTTCAACATCTGTTTTCAGAAAACAGATGTTGAAAACAGGTGAAAACAACATTTTATCGTTTCCGAAAAAAGCATGAAATTGCTGTTGGAAGAAGGAATAATAGTGACATAAGGATTAAAGCTGGGCGCCAAATGTTTGAGGTTCAAATCAGTCTTAGTGTTGCTGTGTCGTTTTGAGGTTGAGTTTGTCTAATAATCAATACTTCACCGTTTGCAGTATGTCTGTGTTAGTCCCTTTAGTTTTGTAAAAGGTCAAGTAATTCCAGTTAGTTGAGTTAGCTGTTGAGAGCATATAGCTGAATCTGTTAGAAGAGATTGCTAGAAATATGGATAGTGGAGTCAGGGTTGTTGTGAGCAGTTTGAGTTAGGGGCTTGCAACTCATTCTATTTATACTTTCTGTTCTTCTTCAATAAAACTCGTCAGATTGCATTTGAGTGTGTTTCTACATTTGGTATCAGATCGCACAACGCAAGCTGTAACCAAATTCTACTGCTTAGTGCAGAGCAGGCAAATCAGAGTGGTGTGAGGCAAATCTGTGGGAGGAATACAGATCTGGGTATTGGGAAACACGAGGGTTTTAGTGTGTGACGTTGCAAGATGAGTGAGAATGCAAGTTTTGCCCAGGTTGGTCTTCTCAAATTCGATGGAGACTACGATCACTGGAGCTTGCTTATGGAAAACCTATTGAGATCCAAAGAGTATTGGGTGGTGGTGAGTGATGGTATTCCAGAACCAGCGGCTGGAGAGGCAGTGTCGGCTGCTGAGAGCAAGATCTTGGATGATTTGAGACTCAAGGATCTCAAAGCCAAGAATTACTTATTCAGTTCGATTGACAAATCCATTTTGAAGACTATCACCAAGAAGTCCACAGCTAAGCAACTCTGGGATGCCATGAAGATCAAGTACCAAGGCAGTGCTCGAGTTCAGAAGGCACAACTTCAGGAACTCAAGAGGACATTTGAGGTATTGGAAATGAGGGAAGGTGAGATTGTAACAGCCTATTTCAGTCGAGTTATGGTAGTGGCTAATGATATACGAAATTGTGGTGAGGATATGCCTGATGTTAAGGTGGTTGAAAAGATATTGAGGACTTTGAGTGAAAAATTCAACTATGTAGTGTGTTCTATAGAGGAGTACAAAGATATAAAGACTCCCTCTGTGGATACTCTACAGATCTCTCTATTAGTTCATGAGCAGAAGTTTCACAAGAGGACCTCAGCTACAGCAGAAGAGGAACATGCCTTGAGAATATCTCATGATTATGGGGGAAGAGGAGGCAGATCTGGAAGATGAGGAGGCTATCAAGGTAGAGGTCGATGAAGAAGTGGTAGAGGCTGGAGCAAAGACAATGTTGAATGCTTTAAGTGTCATAAGTTTGGTCACTATCAGTATGAGTGTCCAGCTGGTATCCAAACCAACACTAGTCTAACTTTACTCAGAATGATATGACAGATGATGTTCTGCTTATGGCATTCTTGGAAGACTCTCATCAGACAGGAATGGAGAATTTGTGGTTTTTGGATTCAGGCGGCTCAAACCACATGAGTGGTGATAAGACCTAGTTTGACAGCATCAACTACAGTCATACAGGTCAAGTGAGACTGGGAAACAACAGCAGGCTGAAGGTAGCTGGTAAAGGAACAATAAGGTTGCAACTGGAGAAGGTGACTTTGGTTATCCAGGATGTTTTCTTTGTTCCAGGTTTGCAGACCAACCTACTGAGTATATGGGGAAACTACCAGAAAGAAATCTGGAGTTCTTGGTAAAGAGAGGCTACTGCATAATAGTTCATGAGACGAGGGGTTTCCTATTGGAAACCAGAATGAAATGCAACAGTTGACATGCTGAACTTCAATGCTTAGCTGCAGACTGCAAGGAAATGTCACTTCTCCTGTGGCATAGAAGATTTGGCCACCTGAACCCCCAAGGGATCTTGAAGCTGAAGAAAGACAAACTAGTGAAAGGGGTACCTAATCTGAAAGGAGAAGTGGGTGTTTGTGCTACTTATCAACTGGGCAAGCAGACTAGGAAGGCTTTTCCCAAAAAGAGCCAGTGGAGAGCAACCAAGCAGCTTCAATTGGTGCATGCTGACCTCTTTGGACCCATCACTCCTATGTCTAAGAGTGGAAAGAGGTGTATTTTTACCCTCATTGATGATTATAGCAGGAAATTATGGTCTATTTCCTGTCTGCTAAATCAGAAGCCCTTGAATGGTTTAAGAAGTACAAGGCTCAGGTGGAAAAGGAAACTGATGTACCTATTTTGTGTCTAAGGACAGATAGGGGTGGAGAGTTTCTTTTAACTGAATTTCAAACTCTGTGTGAAGATGTTAGAATGACCAGGCAGCTCACTGCAGCTCTCACCCCTCAGCAGAATGGTGTGGCTGAGAGGAAGAATAGGACCATCATGAATATGGTAAGATGTATGATCAAGGACACTCAAGTACCTGCAAGTTTTTGGCCAGAAGCAGTCAATTGGACTACACATGTACCGAACAGAAGCCCCACTGTTGCAAATCAAGAAAAGATACCTCAAGAGGTGTGGACTGGCAGTGCACCATCAGTTGCACACTTTTGAGTCTTTGGATGTGTGGCCTATGCTCATGTCCCTGACCAACAAAGAAAGAAGCTAGATGATAAAAGCACTCAATGCTACTTTCTTGGTATCTCAACTGAATCCAAAGCATACAGGCTATACAATCCAGTTACCAAGAAGGTAGTCATAAGCAGAGATGTAGTATTTGATGAAAGTCAATGGTGGAAGTGGAAGGCTGATGTCCAACCAGTGCTTACATTCTTGGAGTGGGAAGGAAGTGAAGAGGAACATGAAGACCCTGATGTAGAAGAAGGTCCTATGTTGAATGCAACTCCACTTGCAGTAGAAGAAGAGGAAGAGGAGACTACAAACAGTCCTGTCACACCTGTTGCAATAGGCCTTGATGCATATGCTGGTGAAGAAGAAGAAGAAGAGGACAACAACTCCACTGATGTACTAGGCCTACCTCACAGCCCTACACTTGGTACCAGATCACGAAAGCCACCTAGCCATCTCTCCATTTATGACTGCTCGCACTCCACTGAGGTAAAGCCAGACTGGTTGCTGATGGCAGAAGTAACAGGAGATCCACAATGCTTTGAAGAAGAAGCTGGCCTAGAGAAGTGGAATGAAGCAATGCAGCAAGAGATGCAGTGCATAGAGAAGAAGAACACGTGGGAATTGACTGAATGCCATCCAGGTATTACTCCCATTGGCTTGAAATGGCTCTATAAAACTAAGTTGACAGAGAACAGTGCCATTGACAGGCATAGGGCAAGATTAGTAGTCAAGGGTTATGCACAGAAGGCTGGCATAGACTACAATGAAGTGTTTGCTCCAGTTGCCAGGTGGGACACCATAAGAACATTGTTGGCCTTTGCTGCTCACCATGGTTTTCCAGTTTGGCAGTTAGATGTTAAGAGTGCATTTCTGAATGGTGAACTTAATTAATATATTTTTGTTGAGCAACCACAAGGATTTGTGGTTGCTGGGGAGGAATCTAAGGTATATAAGCTAAAGAAGGCACTTTATGGCCTAAAACAAGCTCATAGGGCCTGGTACAGTCGTATTGAGGCACATTTTCTGAGTAATGGCTTTGTAAAATACCAGAATGAA